AGTCGCTTTTCCATATAAGCAGAAAACAGTCTCTTCATATTGGTGATGAATGTGGGTTCACCCAGCTGTTTCTTCATGACGAATCCAAGTAAATTCATCGCAATGGCATATATAGATGACGTCGTACAGTGAGTTTCGCTACACATTTGTTCAGATATAATGTGAAGTCTCTCAAGGGAGTCACACACTGATTTAGCTTTCACCCAGAATTCAGCATCGGGCACCCTGGCTACTTACCGAATAACTGTCTCGGAAGACGGTATGTAGGGTAGCGCTTTTGCAAGAGAGAGAGAGAGAGAGAGAGAGATGGGTTTCGACTCGACACAAACTAGGTCATTTCGGGACTAACGTATGGTTCAATTTTATTTCAATAATTCGCTTGCGTGTAGGGGTCTTTAGCAATGGGAGGAAACCGAAGGACCTGGAGAAGACCCACGAGGTTGGACAGGCGACCCTACTCCTTGTCACGTACAACCGGGAAATCGAAACCCGAAACCACGACAGTTGACTCAATGACAGACCTTATGATACATCTCGCACACGCTAACCATTCTGACACCCCCTACCCTTACACGCTGCAGTTAGGTAATCTAAATAAGCTTTGAATGTAAATGTGGCAGGTCGCCTTTAATAATATTTGAGAGCAAATAGAATAAATAATGTAGATATTCGAAAATATTCGAATATGGTGATTACTATTAGAATATTATATTCGACGAGCGAATATTCGAATATTCGAATATTCGTGCCGAACACTAATTCATAGTATGTGCGTTGGGTTATTGCCATTAATACTGTACCCTTTTAATTTACCATTTAATTTCAGCCAAATTACATTATGAATGTTTAAAGTTTTGACAAGAAATAGTGCTAAATACTTTCGATTGTCAAGTACCATTGCAACGATAATAAAAGAAGTCTCGATTTTCGTGATTAACGTTTAACACAGACATGGCCTAATCCACGTAATATATAAGCCATCCGATGCTCTAAAAAGTTGATTAAGGGGTTGTCATGAGAATAAATAGCAAGCAGACCCACAATAGGCAGATTTAGCTCTTAAATAATGTATTGTATTTTGTATCAATTAAGTGGCCCTGTAGCATGACTTACCTGGTGTAATAAAATATGATATAAGTTACTTTTCTATTAAATGTCAATTTAATGCATCATTTAAATGTTTAGTAATTTCCAAGAAGTTATACAGTTTTCCGGCATAGCATACTATAGTTTTTCTAGAACGGTGTCTGATCGGACTTTGCCTCTCGCCATTCCTGTTCATCCCTATTAAGCTGCAATATGAAAATACCACTTTACCCCACCTCTGTTCTAAGTCTTTTTTCAAATCCTTATCATCTATTTTTAAACGTGATTCTTCTTTGTGCGCAAAACTGAATCATTTCTGGCTACATCTGATAAATTTATAATAATTTAACACTATTTCCAAGTAGAATTTTGCGATTTAGCCACAACCCCGCGAACTACGTGTATAGACAAACGTGAGTTCCATAGTGGCTGACCAATTGAAACGTTATTTGTTAATGTTTTTGAATCGCAAAATTCTATTTGAAAATAATGTTGCATTATTATAAATTTATGTCAGATGTGGCGAGAAATGATTCCTTTTGGCGAACAAAGAAGATTCATGGTGAAAAATTAAAGGTAAGGATTCCAAAATAATCCTAGAGTAAAGCAGTATTTTTATATTGCAGCTTAACAGGGACGAATAGGAATGGTGGGAGGACAACGTCCGATCAGACACCGTTCCTAAAGGAACTAATAAAACCTGTGTTTAAACATTAACAAACATATTGTACACCAAAGATTTATTAACATTAGCATGGGTCACCTATGCTCGTGAGATCCCCGGACAACTAGAAATTGTTCCACTACTGATGTCTTTCGTCTTACTCCATTAATTTCCAATTAAACTGATCCCAAACTGTACTTTACATAGCTTAACATATAATAAACCGATTCCCATGGAAATAAACGTGAAAACATACCACATAAATTCTCTATTCAATAATGGCCGTCAAACCAGAATAATTAGAACATGCACGTGATTAAACGTTATCTTGAAAATGTAGAAAAACTGTTCAGTAACTATTTCGGTGGTCCATTCTTCAGAATTTGTAATATAATTACTAATTCCATGCAAACTGTGAATATTAAATTTAAAGCTATTTAAATTTGCGCAAAGTCTCAAAGAGTGTATCAATTGTAGAGGCTAACAAAACAATATTGCAGCTACTGCCCAACGTACCCTAGCTACGAGAACTACCCATGCGTTAAGACTGTTTCAATTAAACACTGTTTTGGGGTTGGGGGTACCTCCCTTGAACATGAGATAAGGTCTAAAATATCCCAAAAGTCCCAATTAACTATCAATGGAGAAAAGATTCGGGAATACGGTTACACCCAAAACGATCAATTAATAATAATCATTCACTTGTTCTTTCAATTCAACTTAAGATGTACCCACAGCGACGACTATTTCTCGGCGATTTTAATCACTGACAAATAATTATTAGTTTGTGTTAAATTATACTGTCCAACTGATTGTTACTGGTGTTTCATCGGATATTATGTGCGCTGCTGGCAGATAATTCATCACCGACAAACCACCGGGAATTGATAAATACACGCTTTTACAACGGATTTTGTTTGTTTACGCGTTTGGTGGAGACTATCGTGTAAACATTAAGTCGATAGGAAACTTCCGGGCATGAAACCGGACTGTCGGTGCCAAATAACCACTGGTGTGTCAAAGCCTTCGGTATATACTTAGCCCAAAGCCTTCAATATATACTTAGCTCAAAGCCGTCAGTATATACTTAGGTCAAAGCCTTCAATATGTACTTAGCTCAAAGCCTTCAATATATACTTAGCTATATCTCTTACACACATTTATAAGTTCATATAGTGGTAAATAACTAAATGTACCGGAATAGATTCCTTTTTTAAATCTTGAAATGTTTCAGTTTTATAATAGTTGATTAGTTGTTAAAGATGGTGGCTGTGTTATCGTTTTCTAAACGGAGCCGCGGTGAGCCAGTAAGTAACAATAACATGTTGGCTCGATAACTCAGAAGTGCCCGGTGCGATCCCGGTGTTGGCTGAGAAAGTTCGTCGGAATTTTCCAATCGGTTTTCAACCCAAATCCCACTCTATGCCGACCCGAATTCCAACCATCCAATCAGACTGTTGCAGCCGCATTCACAAATGTCGCACAAAGAAGAGTGACTCCGGACAATAGTCAATTCAGTATTCAATTAAAAGCAAAGTAAAATTGGTGTGTTATTAGATTTCGGGCACTTTATTTTTCCAACTAGATGAAATATTAATTTTTGTTTTCACTTTACCCGTCTGCCCGAAAGTTAGGCCCCCACCCCACCGCGCCCCCTGGCTCGAACTCGAACGATTAGTTAACTGAACAGTCAATCTTTATTTCAACCCAATCTCACTTTCGTTGTATCTATGACATATTAGGTAATTAAAAAAAAGACGGCATATAAGTTTTTCTCACACGCTGGCCATGTGTCCCTTATCTATCAAATAATTCACTGCTATCAGTTATGATCAATTCAAACAAGAGATTGCCATGCAAAATGCGCCCACATTTTTCAAGAAATGTATGGAGAAGAGGTAAATAGGGCTCATCCTCTCATTCAAGATCTTTTTATCCTTAACATATTTGTTAAGTTTCATCAGAATGGGACAACAGCAGGGGCTATAGCTCTAGAATGTGAGGTCTGCTGCGTACCAACTTTTGATCCTTAACACATAGTTTAAGGTTCATCTCATGAATCGGACAAACCTTGTAGCTTCAGGAAGGTCCACAAACTTCATTTATATTTCACATTTTACTTAAAAGGCAGGGGACCAATGCGCACCAAAATGAACTCATCTAAAAGCTAGTGATACTTGTTTAAGTTCATAATCGGATAAAACATCTGACCTCTAGATGGTCCACAACCTTGGTATTACATGCTTTTATACTACGTATTTGCCGTTTGACTGAAAGTTTCGGTCCGATTTTCATTAAATTCATATGATGTAACAGTGATACATTTGAACTGTTTTGGAAATAAGATAAAAACGGTGAAATATTTGAACGGTTTTGACAATAAAAAAAAAGCTGTGCAGTCTAGAGGATCCACAAGCTAAATATGTCGAGACCTTTCGGTTATAAACATACATTGTCAGTTTCATCAAAACCTTATAAAAAAATTGTGACCTCTAGAGTGTCCACAACCTTGGAATTATTATGCATATATTTGTCAAGTTCAGCATCACAAGAAGCCACCATCGAATGTACTTGCATGGTTAGGAATTTAAAAACACGGGTGAGTAATTTCATTAGCCAGAAAGCGTCTCTACTATCCTTGGATAGTAGCCCCCCCCCCCCCCCCAACCCCTCACCCCCATCAAAAATTCCCTACCCTGTCCGTGCAACAGCAACAGGATAGTTCTATCATAAATATATCAAGTTTAACCGAGGGGTATAATTTATTATCTGTCGTTGCCATTCAAAATACATTTGATTAAACAAGAAAAAAATTTTCAAACTTCTAGAAATATTAGTTCTTTCCAGAATTGCATTGCTTGAGGTAAACCTTCTTCCTTTTTTTTAATCAGAAATAAAATTTAAATTGCTAAATTCAATAAATATCGTTCACATAAATCTTTAAAAAATCAATTATGTTTTAGTTAGAATATAGAACTATTTGAACATTCCATAGATCTAATTTACTGGATTAAATGATTTTAGTTCTATTTCATGAAAATTTATTTATTAAATATTCGACATTGTGAATCTGTGTCAGTTTTTAAATCCAAAGTGAAAACTTGGTTGTTTAGTCACTATCATATAACACTCCAAAGTGAGAACATTTTCTAGCGCCTAGTGCATTCCCTAGTGGATTGAATAGTTGCCCGATACAAATATCATTATTATTTATTATTATTATGGCATAATATTATAAGCTATATCTTACCTTATTAAAAGGAACAAAACTAACGGCATCGTGGAACAAAGTTACACTACAAACTAATAAAGTCCATGGAAACATCCTTCAAAACTGTTGACAAACAGGTCTTATGCTAGAAATGACAATGAATCGTGAAAGCCTTCGGTTTCTTTCTCTCGAGTACGTGATAATGAAACTTCATCCAAATATTCTCGATTTTTATACCCAATCTCCAAAACACCTGGGTTCTGCCAGACGACGAATCGTGACGTCACCAAACCTGGGAACCGCCGACTAAAATCTTCAGTCATTTATGATTTTACTGCATTGTTCACTTTATTCAAAATATAATTTGATCTATACTGTTTATTGCACGTGGTAGACTAATTACCGTACCAGAACAAAGTGTGATCGATTAATTCATATGATTAGAGTAAGATGATACTGTGATTATCAACTGATCACGATCAATTAGTTATAGTAATTAACCTGATGAAAACAACGTATTTTATATTATTTACTTATACCGTGAAATACACATTATTAGACAATGAATTCTAGATTATTTATTTAACACACCGTATTGAAAAGGCCAAAATAATGCCAGATTTCATAACGTTGAAATAATAACATTATTGATTTGTGCAGAAAAGAAAAAACAGAAAAAGAAATTATTTCCTGGCATCTGCTAAGGCGGGTTTTATCTTAATAGCTGGAGTTATATAATACAACCGTGTGTTGAGTGGTGGGTAAGATTAAAGGATCAATATCTCCTAATAAAGGGTAGATACAGACTTTCAGACAGCCCACAATAATACAGCTCTCATATTATTATATCTTTTCTAGTAATCGTTTTTGTTTCGAATGATATTTTCCAATGGTGAAAACTATTTTTCCAGATGTCATATTTTTAGATTTGGTCTTTGAAGGCACACTTGATTTCTGTTAAACTTGGGCTGGTCAGTAGAGCAAGCCTAAGTTCATCTGTTGATAAAATTAGTCTTTGTTTTGTTTTTCTTAAATTTAGCCCAAACAAGATCTAGAATTAGTTATTATATATAACTTTCACTATCACGCGTGTCATATGAACGAAATTCCACAACTTATTTTGACTTATTCAGAGAGAGAGAGAGAGAGAGAGAGAGAGTTGTCTAGGCTGTAGCGCGTGTCTCCAGGATACTCTATAGCGTAAGCCCATCTTCATTAGCCCAGACGGTACAGAAAAGTGGGACATTAAACTCCATTCATTTCATCCCAATTATATTGGAGGTTTTACGTATATATGCCAATGTTAATATCACAATAATCGTAGTAATCGACAAAAACGCCCTGTTTGTGACAAAAATCCACAAATTTATTAAAGAATGGTGGGGTGGAAAAGATTCCTGTAGTCTACATGTAAGCGTTAATGTAGCTTAACCGACTGACTATGTTTAATTCAATATTCACATTGTCAACTCACTCGCATCGTTTTTATTTATTTATGTTGATTATGTCCCCTGCCCTGAACATAAATCGTGTATATTTGAAAATTAATAAGGGGTTCGTCCACGCCTCCAACTGAAAAGTCCTGGTGACGCCAATGCAGCATGGTTTCATATTTTAAGGAAGACCGTTTTAACCTTCCATACTCGACAGATTTACCTGATGTTGTCTTGCCATAGGTCCGATACTTTGCGTCTATCGTCAATCGACCAATTGCAAGAAATATACCTAGCAAGCCAATTACGCAGAAGTCGTCTTCCAATCACCGAATTCGGCTTTACCAAGAATGACATATGGCAGGGAGAGCTACATGCACGTATATATACCATGAATGAAGGTATCTTCAAAGAGTTATCAAAAGTTATCAGTCATCTATAGACAAATTACTTTTTATATGCTCGAGATGTCAATAATAATCTGATCATAATATGCAAGTTTTATCATATTCCATAGTGTGTTTCAAATGAAATTGGGGTTAAAATAGTGTTTTTCAAAGGTGTATCTAATCAGACGGCCTTGAGTATATGTTACTGTGATAATGAAGATACATGTATAGTCTAGTATTTTTTTTAAAAAAAAATTAATTAGATAATGTTATTAAGATTCGTTAAATAGTGTATTGTGAGTAATATAGTATATTTTGGACTTTTGTATCCAAGGGCCACTATTCCGTGTTGGAAAATAATATGTTCAGCCTTGTTGGTGATGAGACTACTTTGCAACAAAATGGTATCACTTTACCTTGCCCTTAAAGGGACAATAACACTCTTGCTGGCTTGACAGCTCCAAAAAATAAAAAATAGCCTTTTTCTAAGTACTAGATGTGTTAGTGTCCTACCTGTTGTGTAAATTATCCATTACATCCTACTTTACTTGTCCAGAGGGTTCAAAAATATTTTTAAATCCAAGTCACATTTGAAAAGCTTTATGTCAGGCTTTTCAAATCATTGAGTTGAATTTTTCCAATTTTTTAAATTAGGTGTGTAAAGATGAAATTTGTATCATCAATTAATTGGAATGTTGTAAAATAGTACAATTTGTTGACCAGAATAAAGATTGGGACATATTATTCAGTTACAACAAGAGTGGTATTGAGCCTTTAATACTATCATTAACCCTGTTGGAGCAGACCAATATCATATTAAACCCCATTAATATTACCAGAAATTGCAAAGATATACAGTGAGAATATACTACCAAAGAAACATCAAATGCCGCGAGAAAAGGCGAAGAAAAAGTTCACAGGGGGGCAAGGAGTAAATAAGTGGCTCTTGTTACCAGCTAAGTTGTCAACAAGCACAAATATCTTCAAGGAAACATCGACCAATCATATGAAATAACATAACAGACCAGCGAACCCCAATCATGCAAAGTGTTGTAATGACCGAGAACAACGGGCGGTGGAGTCTTTCATGGTATATATTAGCACTCACATTAAGGAACAAACATTTATATTTGTCACTTATTCCCGTAAATGGAAAGTTGTGTTTGTTTAATGGATGGAGTGAGGTAGAGTAAAATCTCCTGCACTTACTGTGTATTAATGAAAACACTAATTGGTACGAGGACTTTATAGTAACTTGATTTCAAGGTTGGAAAGTCATAATCTTAAAATTATGTAGTTTCTGTCCACTTGAAAATGAAATTGACTAGAAATAGTCGTATTATTTCGTGGTTGGGAGATATTGGGGGTCGTGCTAGATATTGTCGACATGTCATTCTGTTTGTTGTTTTTCTATTCTTTGCTCGGGGCCTATATCCGGCACAGTTGCATTGGTCTATAGCTATGGCCTATGATCTGGCATTTGGTTGCCAAAAACAGATTTGTGTTGACCAATTTGAACAAAACTCTTACAAGTATGAGGTCACAGGCCAAATAGTGCATGTTGAGTGAAAAGACTTGGGTCGCATGAAAAATGCAGTTGTGAAAGGTTTTGTGGTGGTTGATCGAAGCTGCGACCGTTTAACCATTTCAGCATATGGACTTTTTACCATATTTCTTAAAAATTTGTCCATTACTATTTTCCCTCCCGGTCCCAGTGCAAATTTTGCAAACGGAATAATTTCAATGATGAACTCGATATTATTCTGTTGCTGTATAATCACAGATGTTTACCCTGGTCAATTTATGAAATGAAATGAAATGGAGTTTAACGTCCTACTGTTCTGCTCCAAACCTGGGCTAATGAAGACGGGCATACGCCATACAGTGTGCTATGAGGGAAATTTTGCCCGGACAGCGGCACTACGGCCTACTCTTATATCGAATTCCAACTGCCAAGGGATCTTTTACGTGCACGCCAATGTGTACACGGGACCTCGGTTTTTCGTCCCATCCGAACGACTAGACAGCTTTTCTTATCAGCCCCTCCGACCTGCATCACCGACAAGGGAGAACCACGCCGGTAAATCTGGATGAACTTTCTCGGCCAATGCAGGGATCGAACACCCGACCTCCAGGCTAGCGAGCTTGCGTCTTACCCACTTAGCCACGTGATCCCCTGGTCAATTTATAACGCGCTTCTGGAATATTAACTCAAAGTATAACATCTTCAATTGAAGACTTGATCTCGCTATAACTCCATACCTATTATCAAGGCCTTCACGTAATTTTTCGTCCCTAATTTCGATTGGTCTTCGATCCAGCTCAAGACCGCTCAGATACCTCGATAGACAATATCATCGCAAATACCAAGTCTCACACTTTCCAGCTGAAATATCTAGATGTAATAATCGAGTTGCAAAGTTTTTCCAATGCCAAGGTTGCTGGAACGTTTCCGTTTTTGCTCTAAGATTATGCTTTGATCCACTTCACACCATTGTGCAAACCTTACTAATTTACTTTTCTGGTCTTCCAGTATGCTACTACGGTTGCTTTTATTTGGTTTTCCATGATTTTTTCAACTAAAAGAAACTATCAACGTTATGTGTTTGTATCACATGTCTGTGGTAAAAGAACCTATGGTTGCTTCAGAAAGGATAGGTGATTTTGTGGCCTTTTCTTCAAAACTTCGGGGAGCGAAACCATGCTGCAAATATACCGAACCCTCTATCAACCACTCATGTAAAAATATATTTTAAAACGTGGGTAATAATCTGCATTGACCGATACACCCCAGTTATTTCCAGTGTGTTTTAAATATGGCACCGGGCTTAAAGCCGAGCGTATAATAGACACTTGTAACTGGAGACAACTGTGCGCCGGCAACTGGGAGTGACTGACTGCAATTGAGAGAGTACGACCAATTGCCTGTTTGTGTCGAGGTACGTGTGCTTGCTACTGAAAAACCACCAGTTGACAACCAGTTCAAGCAGTTACTGCCAGTTGCCCCTGTTCTATTTTTCTGGCTTGTACGGCCAAGAGGTCATATGGGCCTTCACGTGATCAACATTTTCTGTGCCAAATGAACAAAATTAATATTTACTAAAAACTAATAACTTGGGCAACCCCCAAATAAATGTTTGCATTGTACTTCGATATGGACGTAGCCATTTTGTTAAAAAAAAATCAAGCGCCTTTTTTTTCTGTTATGTCGATTTACGCGCGTTGAATTCAGCAACAAATCAATTAAATTTAGCAACAAGATTGTGGTCGATTTATTTTGCATTTCATACACAAAGAGTTCATTGGCCGAGAATGTTCATCCAGATTTTCCGGCGTGGTTCTCCCTTGTCAGTGATGCAGGACGGAGGGCCTGACAAGGACATCTGTCTAGTCCTTCGAATGATACGAAAAACCGAGGTCCCGTGTATACATTGGAATGCATGTAAAAGATCCCTTGGCAGTTGAAATTCGATATAAGAGTAGGCGATAGTGCCGCTGCCCGGGCAAAATTTCCCTTATAGCACACTGTATGGCGTATGCCCGCCTTCATTAGCCCAGTATAGGAGCAGAACAGTAGGACGTTAAACCCCATTTCATTTCATTTCATTTCAAATCACCTTGAAAAATTTCGGTGAAATATTTTAATATCCAGACTAAACACATAAAAAGAGCTATCTTAAAAAGTTGTGTCAAAAGTTAAAACACCTCAGAAATTAAAAACATTTCCAAGTCAAATAAATCGAAAGAGCGTCACACTTAGTTTGTATTTTTAACTCGTAGGCTATTTATAGTAGCCCTAATGGAATCAAGAGTCTCAAAACTAATCATTTGTGAATTAAGATTATAGATCAGATATGGTAATTTCATGTATGTTTAGTATTAAAGAAACACTCCCAATAGTCATTTATAATATTGATGACATTTTTGGTATAATGGAAAGTAGAGACACGCAGTCATACTAGCAAAATACAGGAAAACATCCCTGGGTCACCCACATGACAAAAAAGGTAAGAGGATCACAAACTGGTAGCCTGTCTGATAATGACTAACGGTTAAAAGAACATTGAGAGACTAAGCGTGGATTAAGCGGCAGGTAAAAAAACTGACAGGGGATAATCCAAGAGTTTACTTAGGCTCTGATATTATTGGATGTAATTGGGCAGCCACTAACGACAAATACAAGCCACTCAATAAAGTCACGTGACAAACGAGGGTACTTGCAGAATGGTGTAGATTTCATACGATTTAAAGTTTAGAGGGGGATTTGAAGCAAAATTTTGATAGATAAATTAGTTCGAATATGTATTTTTTCCAAATATATCATCAAATCACACAGTTTGTACGTGGAAATGCATCTTTAATTACCACATTAATTAATATTCAATATCATCTTTTATTCATTTTATCCTATCTATTAATAATATATTCAATTATTCAATTTAAAATAAAAAATTGTTTCCAGTTTATCTTTTTACTTTAATAATTATGATACATGACACAGGTGATTGTGTACAAGATTATAAAGGCGATATTTGAATGCGTGATGTTTAGATTATGGTGCTTGTAATGCTAGACAATAATCAATATGAGTGAATGAGCGGGGGAGTAGACTTCACACAGAATACCAAAGCTAATTGATTAAGCTTTAACAAATCCAATACAGCACCAAGTGTGTCCTTCATTTGCCAACAGAAACGACACTCTTGTTACAGTAAACAGGGGGTTGGATGGCTGAATGGTTAGCGTGCGCGCGCTGTATCATAAAGTCTGTCATTGAGTCAACTGGCGTGGTTTCGAATCCCCGGTTGTACGTGGCAAGGAGTAGGGTCGCCTGTCCAACCTTGTGGGTTTTCTCCGGGTCCTCCGGTTTCCTCCCACTGCTAAAGACCCCTACGCGCAAGCGAATTATTGAAATAAAATTAAACCAAATGTTAGTCCCGAAATGACATAGTTTGTGTCGAGTGGACTTTAAACCCCTTCTCTCTCTCTCTGTTACAGTAAACATCTCGTGTTAGATTTAAAGGGCGTATTGCTCTAACGCTGTCAATAATATTCGAAATTAAAAACATGAGTTCAAATTTAATATTGATTCCATTTAAAATCAATTCGGTCTGATCTTTGTAATGAACAAAGCAAAACATATCCCACAAGTCTATGCCGACGTGATTAAAAATGGCTAGTCTACTGAAAGCAACAACAAAAAAATAACAGCACAAATACACTGTCAAAAATGGGTGTAATTAAAAACTATAAGCAGTTTTAAATAAGCATAAACCACAGCTAGTGTTTTGTAACCAACAAAAAGTATTACACCTAACAAGTGTAACCGATATTCATGACTACTGAATACCTGAATGGGTGTGATTGTGGGGTGTTTTGGATAAGCTACACCACTACCAGTGTTATACTGCATTTACACCAAAGGGTGTAACTATTATTGGGGAATACATCATAGAACAGCGTTAATTTTACAGCGTTTATTGGGTTGCAAAAGTGTAATCGATATTCATGAGAACCGAACACCAGAATAGGCGTAATTGTAGCCGTTAAAGGGTGTTTGGGATGAGCTACCCCTCTACAAGCGCTTTATTGCATAATTATTTTAGGGAAACCGTCCTCCGAATGGTGTAAATTTTACACCGAATCTTGCCTTACAAAAGTATTTGGGTACTCGAATTTGAGTGGTTTTTTAGGGTAAAATTTGGCGTTGATTGCACTAGTAACACATCTATAACACGTTTTAGAGTGTTTACTCCATAACGATTAAAGTATAGATTATTTTAGCTTGTATACACTTAAAGGCGTGTAAATGTTCCAAAGTACAATATCTTAAGAATTCTTAATTCAGGCGAGGTGCATAAATGAATAAACCATATTATTCAGCTAAGTTGTTAGGATATGTGTATTGATTTTGCCTCGTAATTTATATTCATTGTAAATTGATACAGATTGTCTAATTTCCCCACAGCAGTTGAATGTGAATCAGTCTGTGGGAATTTTTTCAATTTAATGTCGGTGTAAAATGAAGCGAAATAGCCGACGGCCTGTATGTAATCGGGGTCAGGCTAAACGCCCTATACTAATTATCATAGAGACCGATAGCCCATTTCATGTTTTCTGAACTTAGAAGTCGTTGGCTTGAAATAAATATCCAACAAAACAAATTACACCTGCGTTGGTGTAATAATTAAAATTGAAGTGTAATTTACAAACCATCCTTGAGTGTTAATGCTTAATCTACACCCACGGGTGTAACATTACACTGTCTGAGTGTTATCGGTTTACACGACTAAAGGCTAGGAGTTACCACTATTTAGGTGTCAACTAGTTTCCACCCGAATTGGTGTAAACTACCTTATTATTTTTAACTGTGTAGATGGGACTAACGCTGACGATTTCTATGCTGTATGGACTGTTCACGTATTTCACCGATTATAACTGATTTAGAAATTACAATAAATTTTAAAAACTTGAATATTAAATTAGTTCATATGTTGCATTAATAGATCCAAAGAATAAAGCTATGTGCCCTTTATCAGGAATAATGACGTTACTGGCGGCAAAAAATCTCCAAATAGAAAGGATGATAACTGTACTTTGTGTTGTTTTACAAAAAAAAAATGTTTTTTTGGGTTTTTTTGTTTGTTTTTTGGGGAGGTGGGGGGTGGAGGGGGCTTCTGGACCCGCCCCTGTTACTATCTCTTCTGAATCCCATATCTGGTGTTTTACCGTTTTTACAAATCGCTCTAATAGATTGGTTATTTCTTGTGTTTTGGTACAGATTATTACACCGAGTATTGGGACAGAACGGTACATAATCAAGATAAGAAGTGATATTTTCAAACAATCTGATGAAAACACAGATCCTACACTCAAAGCCATTAAAAATGTAATGCCAAATTCAAAGATTATTTATTGCAACAACTTTTAACAAGTACATGACAATTGACAAAATCGAGATAACAAGCATCTGTGGATAATTTCATGAAAGAATTCACTACAAATGCACAGAACCATGAAACAAAGAAGGGGTCAGCTGAAGTCAATATCGGGTATGTCCACCCTGAGCTCTTACACATGCCTGAAGTCGCCTTGGCATGGACTGGCACAGATGTCTCACTACACGCTGTGGGTTTGTTTGCCAATGATTTTGGAGTGCCTGTGTCAACTCTGCAACAGTTCGTGGTGGCACGGCTTGAGTTCGAATCCGTCGTCCAAGTTCATCCCAAAGGTGTTCGATCCGGTTCATGTCGACGTCGGTAGATACTGTGACGTCCATCAGGAAAACTGAGGTTGAATCAGGATTCATCCGAGAAGATGACATTTCGCCATGGTGTGTTGTGCAGATACCCCTGATTTGTGGCCCATTGCTGTTTGGCAAGTCGATAACGATACAAAAGGATTTGACCATGGTAAGGTCGACGGCAGCGTAACCCAAGAGCTGTTTGAGGGCTGATCTGACGTTGCCGTGCTCCAACAGTTCCCCTGGCTGTAGCAGTAGCTGACTGGAACCTGTTGCCCAGATGCTGTAGTCGGATGTGACGATCTTGAGTAGCAGTTGTTACAGGTGGCGCTCCAGGTCGGCGTCGATCGGTATCTCTTCCAGAAGCGTTGTCTGAGGCGAGCAATGGTCGATGGTTAGACATTAAAGTGTCTGGCGACGGCTACCTGTAAAGCCCCCGATCCAGCATGCCAATAGCTCTGTTCCTGTTTTCTTGTGTAAGGCGTGGCATTTTTCCGAAGTGATGAATGTTGAAATTTAATCTGTATTTAAAGGGCCCGAGTGCAGGGAATGCACGTGCAAAACGTGTGACATGGGACTGCTCAAAATCGTGAAAAAAGACAAGTGTTGCTTTTGCACGAACAAAGTTCATTAACGAGAACTGAAATTGGGTTCAAACCCAGAACTCCACAAAAAGAGACCTATTACAAGTTTCATCTATGTGCCATAAGATAGGAAAGCCCAAGAAAAAGTTTACCAGAAATATTTCACGAATTAGGCATTGCGTTTTTAATGGCTTTGATTATAATTCGTTTCGTTTTTTATAGTTCATAATTTCGTTTTATTTGTCTGTACTTCACTGGGATCTGGAAGAAATGTTATATAACCTGTTTTCTGGATGGCGTGAGGGATTAGCCAATGGAACCATCTGTTATGGCGACTTCTTGGCGTGCGAAGCACGGAACTGTTGCTAAACCACTACAAACGTCAACGCTGATTGATTAATCAATGTCTGACGTCATAGGTCAAAAGCCGTTCGTACGACCTCTGACGCGACCTTTTACTACAACCGGTCAGATCTTCATGTAGTGTAGGCCATCGAAAGTATAAAAAAAACGAAACGAAATATAAATCTGTATTTTAATCAGATTGATCTCAAGATGTCTCATCAGTTCTACACTAGCTTCTCACCCATCAAAAGGTTTATCGACGTATATAAACATCATATAAAAGAAATATTATCTATGTCCTTTTGTTTATTGAAAAAAAATATTTAAAGTATTTTATCATCACATAAACTTTTAGACTCCAACCGCTACGTTAAAATTTATTGAACATCAACATGCTTCGATCATCACTAATCACGCCCTTTTTTACTTCAGTCAAAAATGCTAGATAAATCGTGTGTGGATATATGGATCAAAAGTTTATTTTAGTTCTAAAAATAGTTAAACACCTCATCGCGTCTGATGACGTACACATCCGGAGGTATATAAGGGATTGTGTCTGGGGGATGATATAGTAAATGTACGGTGATACCAAGTGGCGACTGATCAGGTCTATGACACTTGTGATAAACAAGTGAACTTCGATTGCAAACTCCCCAGTTAGCCCCCGTCGGAAGTACACATTGTTCTTGGAGACAGCATGACAACCAAGCCTTCATTATAACATTAGAATAAACATTGTTTCGCGTCATTAGAACAAATCCTGACTGGATTTCATGTCTCTCGTGGAAAAGACAAGGATTTACGTCAAAGTATTCAAAAGTTTTGGCATGTGTATGATTTGGAAGAAGATTTTTTCGAAGAGGTACCGATTCTAGAAACATGTGACCAATTTCTCTTGTAAGCATGAAAACGTCATCAAGGTTGGGTCTTCTAAATCTAATCGAGGCATCCATATACATTGCAAATCCAAATTCATTCAATATTTCCTAAAATGAAAACAAATTATTTCTTTAATAAGTTTTAACTATCATCCACGGAACAAACATAATAATATGCCTATTAGAAGTATTTCAGCAGCTTTGTCTACTGGACACACTGTAGTCATCACATACTAAACTGCGGCTCTCCTCGAGAATAATTGGATGGTTAACATAATGCGCTCGGAACACCTTCCTTCGCTTCATTACACCAAGCAGGCGACAGAAATAAACAGAACTAAATTGAAAGTAATTCTTTAACTCAGATCTTACCTTTGACATCTTCATTAGCTAGACTATTGAAATACTTGTTCAAAAGAAATGTTTAGTTTATATATGTGGCCCCAAGAACATTAAACTAATATTAGACGATGTTAACATGGCGACCATAAAATACGACCACGTTTAATCATGTTTGCATAAGACAACCATCTTTTCCCTAATATATCTTGCAAGTTTTTATGTAACCAAGATGAAAACAAAAACTAAAATTCATATAGCTAAATTTTTTCTACATAAATTCTGTATTTTTAATTTGTAGCAATTGACAAAAAATATTCATATGAATACCTGAATGATGATAGGTTTCCATGCACGAGTTGCCATAATTCTAACATGGCGTGGATACTTCTTAAAGTTAAATTTTCTTACTTCACAGTTACACCTTATCTTAGTCTGAAAATTTTAGAAACATTTAATTACAACTTAATTAAAAACCCAGGTCCAAAACCACCAAATTCGAGTACAATTTAAAAAATAGATTCATGTGTGGAATAGTTAATTCATCAGGAACTTAAAGGAAAAGTAATTATAATTGCCAAATTCTTGTTAGTAGTATTCTACATTTTTACCAAAGCGCGAATAACAAACACTATCTTGGCTAAGAACTATATTTCATTGCATATATCTCTAATAGAAACGTCTTCATTTCCAAGTCATCTAAGGGGCATGGGATGTTGCTGTTAACATCGAAATAGTTATATGTGTAATAAGAGAAAATCTCAAATTAAGGGCGTAACCAATTAATAAACAAAGGGGGGGGGGGGGCTCATGGCTAACTAAAAGTAATGAAGTATATTGTATCCATTTTAAACAAACAGAAGAAAAGCATCGATGGATTATGCTTCCATTTTACTAATGATTTCTCTGTCTACCTCGTTCTATTTACATACATGCATCTTGAACTTCACTTGCAATAATGACAGGTCTACCAAATTTGGTTGGAATACAATACATGGTTTATGAGACAGAGTAAAAATATTGTACCTGTCCTGTCTTTCCCCTGTAGAACCGACCGACTAAATTTCGGGAAGTCAAAATAACTACGATCGGCAAAGATATAACAATATATTTTATCGAAATCCATTGAGCACTGTACAAAAGTCGAAAAACTCGTCTTGTCCCGGTCTCATTTGAACACATCTGAACACTCAAGCCATATATCTTCCAAATTTGTTAAAATATAAACAAGTGTTCTCGTTAAGTTTTCCTTCCCTCATCTATGGGGCTCATCAAATTGTGTAGAAATCCATCATGCGGTAATTGAGCGGATGTCGTATTGAACTGATCTGAAAAAGCAACACCTTCACCTACCAAATAGGGTTGAAAATATTTTTAATGTGCTTCTTAAAGATGCTCCAGTCCCAATGGGGTTGGTAAATTTCATTTGAACAAATTTGAACCAACCCCACGGAAGCAACCTGAATACCAAATTTAGTTGAAATAAATTACAATGTTCTTGTGAAGAAGTCAAAAATGTAAAACTCTAATGAACATATTCTGATACTTTCAGTTAATTAAATATTTTTAGTTGAAATAAATTACAAAGTTCTCGAGAAGAAGTCGAAAATTTAAAACTCTAGTGAACATATTCTGAAACTATCAGCTAATTAGATATTTTACTTATCCATAAAAGATGGATAGGAATTTCTTTGAAAGTTGGATGGAAGGTTATTTGAAAGATGAATGAACAGGAAGGTTATTTCGTGCCATCTTTATATTCCATCTGTTTAATCTATAACTCACCATTACAAGTTCTTCTGGTTCTAAACCAATATTATAGACAATCAACTTGAGATGAGGATAATGTTGACGTGGTACGCGGTCTATATTATAAATCAATGCCTGTAGTTCTCTATAGTGGTTAGATGATACTGCCGTCACAAACACGGGGATTTCAGGTGTTTCACCATTATCTTTTAAAATGGGCAGTTCATATTTTCGGTTCACAATTTTCGTTGGTGGATAACCGAGATTTTGGAGAATTAGTTCCGTCTCGTTAGATATTTTGATCTTAAGAACTCGCTGTATATCTTCTTCTGCATTTTTACCATAGTGCGAAAAACAATTACTGTCTTGGCTGAGAACATGATTCAGCTCTTGAAATGGAAAAGAGACATATTTTATAATTCAGAATAATAGATACATTAAATAAAAGTAACTATAAAACACTACCACGACTAAGCCATAGTACATAATGCTGTGAAGTTACTTGGGCACTTGCGGCAATCTTTCGTACCTTTTGTTAACCCCTAGTCATTTTATTACTACTTCCGGTGTGGCAGTTTGACTGCGTGCCTTATTAGGGGCTAGTTAGTTTTGCAAACAGAGCATTACGTCACCACGGCCATTTTGGAAATCAGATTAATTTGAGAAATACCACGTTCCAGAGCACTTTAGATGTATATTGCAACATTACTTTGACCACTTCAAGATGCGGTTTAATGTGGCAGACAACACAACAGCGTTGCAAAGACTAGAAAGGGATATCGTTACAGGATGCACGATCTCTGGTTCTGTTTTCGGCTGCGATGAATCTACGTGTGAAGTCAGCAGAGAAGAAGAGCCGGGGACTAATTCTTTCAACAGGAGTGAAACAACCACCAGCCAGGGCATTCATGGATGACATGTCTATAACACCAAAGTCAGCCCCAGAAGGCAGGTGGATGTTGGAAGACCTGGGAAAGTTGATAAGCTGGGCTCGCATGAAATTCAAACCTACAAAGTCTAGAAGCCTTGTTCTGAAGAACTGGAAGGTGATAGACCGGTTCAGATATAAAATAGGAGATGAAGTTATCCCTACAGTCAGTGAGAAACCAGTGAAAAGCCTAGGAAAGTGATTCAAAGATTCCTTAAATGAAAGAGAGAGTGTTAGAGAGATGAAGCAGCAAGCTAAAGACTGGATGGAGGTGACAGACAAGAGTGGACTGTATGGAATGTTTAAGGGCTGGTGTTACTCCCAACCAAGAATACTTTGGCCCCTGCTGGTTTATGAAGTATCTCTCTAAACCGTAGAAGAGCTAGAACGGATGATCAGCAGACACCTACGCAGATGGATGGGAGTTCCAAGAAGCTTTTGTAGCAGCGGGTTGTACAGTACTGGTAGTAAGCTGCAATTACCCATCTCATCTATCACAGAGGTGTTAAAGGTCACGACAACTAGGCAGGTTATGATGCTTAGAGACAGCGCGGACGAGAAAGTGAGGGGAACAGAGGTAGATGTGAAGACAGGAAGCAAGTGGGTCGCAGCAAGAGAAGTTGAGGACGCAGAGAGTAGACTCCGACACAGAGACATTGTAGGAGTGGTAACCTGCAGAGATCAACCTGGCAGGCAGCTGGAACCAAGGACAAGAGAAGAATGGTACAAAGAGAATCACGTCAGGCAGAAGAGGGAGACAGACAGGCAGGCGCTGTTAGTATGAAGCAACAGGGAGACTGGACAGTATATGCCGTCCTTCCATCACCAACCAACCTGAAGGTTTGGGGCCTGATCGAAGACCCAAGCTGTAAACTCTGTGGTAAAGCCTGCAATCTGAAGGGGGTGGGGTGGATGGCCAAATGGTTAGCACGTGCGCGCTGTATCATAAGGCCTGTCATTGAGTCAACTGGCGTGGTTTCGAATCCCCGGTTGTACGTGACAAGAAGTAGGGTCCTCCAGTTTCCTCCCATTGCTAAAGACACCTACGCGCAAGCGAATTATTGAAATAAAATTCAAAAACCATATCTCTGCAATCTGAAACACGTACTTTCTTCCTGCAATGTTACGTTGACCGACGGACGATATACCTGGCGTCATGATCAAGTTCTTCGCAAGATAGCGGCGAGTCTTGTCGTCCAGAGAAGAAAGAAAACGGTAGCTCTAAATGACCTGAGCTTCATCAAGTTTGTAAGATGCGGAGAGACAGCCAACAAGACCTCCACCTGAAGACGGAACCAGTTCCGCAGTGGTAACACTGTATTCAAGAGAGAGAGAGAGAGAGAGAGAGAGAGAGAGAGAGATGGGGTTTAACGTCCACTCGACACAAACTAGGTGATTTCGGGACTAACATATGGTTTAATTGTATTTCAATAATTCGCTTGCGCGTAGGGGTCTTTAGCAGTGGGAGGAAACCGGAGCATCCAGGGAAAACCAACGAGGTTGGACACTGTATTCAAGATATCACGATCGTAATGTGAGCAAGGGCAGGAACAGAGCGTTACGTCATCACGGCCATTTTGGAATTCAGATTAATTGTACAAGCACGTCAACTGCAATGTAGATCGTACTCGAACTGGCGGAGTCTTTGACTTTTTCGATGAGCGTTGCCACCTAGACCAACAATTAGAAGAAGACGAGCAGCGTTTAGGACCAAGTTGCTGGTCCAAACATAAATTTAATGATAGTTAACATTGAGAGGCTTAAACGTTAAAATAATACACACTGAAAATGGATTTTCCCCCAATCAAGATACATGACAAAAGGATGCGTAAACTAGATTCTTGCGCATGGGTTAGTTTGAATATGTTTTTAGTTCAAACATATCTTCAAATGCGAGAGGGCATCTTTAAATGGGCTTTATCATGCGGCCCACCAGAATCAACAATTTTCTTTACAAAGGTGGATAACTCTATAATTTGTAGTTACTATTCGAATGGTTAAAATGCAACTCGAGCTACAAATACAATGAAAATTTAAATATTCGCCATTAGAAAATTAACACAGGTTTTGGGCGAGTAATCAACGCATGATTTGAATAATGCATTTTAATGTATCCAACAATCAAATACTAGTAATGTACATGTATAAAGCATGATAGGAATATATATTGTCTAACGAAAATTAAGAGAACATTTCTTAAATATGCAATATGTAAGATTTAGATAAATAGCTGACAGTTCCCGCTATAATAGTTTTAAAAGATTAATGAAAAGGGAATATTGAAAATTTTAGTCAAATTACTTCATTCTGAGCGAAATTAGATAAATAGCTGACAGTTCCCGCTATAATAGTTTTAAAAGATTAATGAAAAGGGAATATTGAAAATTTTAGTCAAATTACTTCATTCTGAGCGAAATTATAATTGTTAGAAGAATAACGTATTCTCGTGTTCCATTGCTCCCGTTGTTACGATAATAAAGAAAGTCTCGATTATTCGTTTGTATATTCATTTATTTAAATCACAAATATTCGATGGTTGGTCTAGAGAGTTGATTATGGGTTTGTCATGTGAATAATTAATTAAGTGAGGTTTTAACGTCCAAAACGTGGTCATTTTGGAACTAATGTATGGTTCCATTTTATTTCAATAATTCGCACCCCACCCCTCCTCACCATAACAATAAAAGGCCTAAAGTTTATCACTTACTGTAGGCGTCATATTTATCGGATTGTTGTAGATATTCGGACCTAATATGGTGAATCTGCAATAAAAAAAAAATTGTGAATAAAGAGACGTTTAATCACTTCCATGGGTACCAATGCCTTCATATTACGTTGGTTCCTAATTATAAAGCATTAGACCAAATGGCAGATATGTGACACATATTGTCAAAAAGTAGATCTAATACATTTTGAGGTAAGAAACACTGGCCTTTTTATATTATCGATGTACTGTCTCATTTAAAAAACACTTTAAGTGCGGTTCGTTTCATTTAACCTAGGCCAGAGAAATTAAAACCAAAACGAATAACGATTTAATTTTAATTAAATTGGTTTGGCGCAAGAAATATTGGCTAACCGTAAACGGATCTAATGTACAAGTGCTCGGGTTGCGTAGCCAAAATTTGGTCACCAGTGCGATAATATGCTTCATATTAATCTTAACCCGCGACTGCCAGGCAGGATATGCCCACATTTTGCAAGAGATGGATAGAGAACAAGCTAAACAAAAAGCGATTTTTCGTACAACCAAGGGCCATAATTCAAGAAGTTACAATCCGATATGCACGAATATCGACAGGAACCAAGATCTTTGGGTTATAAAGATATATTTCATATTTTCAGAAATATTGCCATCGTTATAACTGTATTTTAACATTTCATGCTATTTCACAGTCTGTAATGTAACTTTACCTCTAGCTATTATACTACATCCAAGGTAAAATTACATGTATGTAAATGGAGTACATGTAAAATTACCATGATGTTAATTTACATAAATTGGTACAATAACATTAAAAACAAAAATATATAGTGTATTTGGACAGAGTTTATGTGTTTGTCCCCGCTTAGCTAATTAGTCCTAGGTTCGATCCTGGAGAACACAGAAAGTTTTGCGGACCTTTCAGCCGAGCATGTAAAACACCATTCAATTATGTAAAAAAATGAAATGAAATGGGGGTTTAATGTCCTACTGCTCTACTCCTTACAATGGAAAGAGTAGGTGACATAACACCGTCCAAGCAAAATGTCCCACACAACCCAAACCTATTGCATATGTCTGTCTTTATTAGCCAGTTCGGTGCATTTAGATTTTGAATAACCTATTTCGCTAAAATGGACTAAAGTGACTGACAAAACGGTAAATATTTTGCACAAAATTCGATATGTAGTCGAAGGGGGAATAACCAATGTTACCACTATTTGACAGTAAATTTACAATTTTCTGTAAAAATAATATTTTCAACGACATTTTTGTTAATATAATGTAATAAGCCTTGTATTCATGTGCATCTACATCGTTTTAAATGTAAGATAACAAACCATGTGATTTGACAAATCCTGCACTGTATTTTTACTATACTTATAACTGTAAATATACATATAATTTTAACAGTAACGTTACATGGGAGTTATGCTATGGACAGACGAGCGTATTTTTCCGCCCGATCGCGCCGATTGAAATTCGCCAGCGATTTTTTTACGGCCGATAACGAACGGGCACACGTAGCGATCGTCTCAAGAGCGCACGCCACTCTGTGAGTAATTATGTCGATCACATGACTTGTCGATCACGTGACTTGTACAAAATGGCAGCCATTTTGAGATCATGTGATATCAACGATCTCGATGATTGGCTTATAAAAATGAATCGCCCGACAATATACGTTGGACACGGGCACACGAGCGAATTTAATCACCGGCGAAAAATATTCGGCCGAAAATATCTAACATGCTAGATATGAGCGATTGATTGGGCGAATGGTTCGCCGAGCAGAATCGTCGTCGCCCTGAAGGTGCACGCGGGCGTATTTTTCGAGCGATTTTAAAAATCGCCGCGATCGGGCGAAAAAATACGCTGGTCTGTCCCCCACTTTACGCAGCTAAACACGGTCATCGGTCATGCGTAATGATATATTTTTATTCTAATTTATGTTATTACTTACCGAGTATTGTAAAAACAAAAAACTATTTATAGATACATATACGATGGACATGTAGAACATAATCCTCCATTTATATGCTATTCTTTTAGTCATTGTTTTGTTTTTTTTTAACTCTTACGTTATCTGAAATTTAAAATAAAAATTATAAGCATCGACCTATAGGTCAATTCTGGTCAATATCATCAATATATATTGAAAAGCTGTAATAAATGATATATGTATGTCATCATGAAAAAGTAGAATATTTATCACCATATGTTACTTTTACGTACGACTGCAACGAATCAGTCTGAGGCAAACGATATTTTACGACTAATTATCAAAATTATAAAGTGTTATGTCGTGGTGTGGCTAGAGTATAAGCCTCCCGGGGTTGTCCTTCCGTGTGAAACATACCTTCCCAGGAAAAAAACACAACACAGTGCGATGCACTGTTTGACAAAAACTCTAAGACGTATCCAGTAATTTGTTTCCTTCTGCTGTCTTGGCAGAAAAAAACAATTTCTTTTTTCAATGCAGTAGACCAGATGTGCCGCATCTCAGAAATTGCCTCCCGGACTGGACCATGCCATAGCGAGAATCTACTGTTTTGGAATAGAATAATAATCTAATGATGTTTACTTTATTGGTCGCTCATACAACCTAAACTAAACATGACCATATTAGGTACCGTCAAAGAGGAAACGTAACATTTCGGTTTCTGAACTGAGATAAAAACAATTCCATTTATTAAAATTGACAAAACAACATGAACATCCATGTACAGTTGAAGAAGCTCGATGAAATCCACTAATCCTGTAATGAATCAAATAATATTTGAATATTCATCTATGTTACGCATTTTGAATTTAGCCTACATGAAAGAAAAAGAATATCTGTTTAGACAGTTCGAGAATCAATTCATTTAAAGTTTATTGATAGAGGATGAATCGAACTAATACAGCTAAGAGAACACTCGTGTTTCAAAATTTAAAAAGAACTATTAATAAAATGTTTACTTGCCATAATTCCACAAAAATAAAACATTTATCCTGGCTGAAAAGTAAAAGTAAAAGAAAGCACCCCCAAAAGAGATTTAACCAGAACTCCTCCGTAACATCTTCTATATAAGAGAAAATAGTCAGTATAACCATCCACGTAAGTCCCCAAATAAAATATATATTAAGACAAATTCCAGATATTCTAGATATTATTATAATTATATCGATGCCCAATATATCGATGTATGTGGCCGGCATTCGTTACTTGGGTGGTTAAAAATGTAAACCGACGGGATAACAAATCATGTTTACTATGTATCGTGCATGGTAGGCCTACTACTCTCAAAAAGGCTCAAGTAATCGCGTATTCGTGGATTCTAATCCCTTCCCACACAAAGCGCTAAATATTTCACTCCTAGACTGTTTAATAAGCCGAGGTATACTACTATTCATGAAGAACGATTTATCGTAGTTTTTTTTTCTCATATCCCGTCTGTTAATATTTCTATCATTCCACATGAAAAACATTATAAGCCCCATCTACTGACCTCTTACAGATCGAGTATCTGCGAGCATAATAAACGTCGTTGGGGTCACCAAATGAACAATCTGCGTTGCAGAAGCTTATTGCCTTCATAAATATTTTTTTAAAACGCTGCAAGTTAATAAAGGGAGACTATTCCTATTATCCATTTCATTTAGAATCCCGAAGACGCCAAATTTGGCTCCGGGTAAGTATGAAAGAGTTAAATATTAATAACACAGTTTTATTTTTATTGATTCCTGAACAATTTAGACATCAGTAATTTTAGTGTATAGTCCCTTGTTATTTTGTATTGTTAAAGCGGGCGTAATGTGCGACCAGACTACTTACCAGAATTTAAATATGTATTTCACTGTCAGTCCTCCATGTTACAGACAGGAATATTCCTAATATGGTATTGTAGACCAGAGGTTCTGAAGATGGCCCTTCTTGTTAAATAACAAAGGCATTCCTATTTTGTCAAACTATGAGAAATGGGGCTAACTTACCCCAAACAAATTACCTTTTGCCCCTGACTGGAGAACTCGTAAATAGGGTTATTTTTAAATTTAGGTTATATTTGTGTCTAAAATATTTTTTTACCTAAAAGTTGGTTCATTATGGTAATATTAGTTCATGCCATTTTCGTCTTTTGTTATTTAATTTATTGTGGTATCATTATATTCATTTGTGTCTAACTTTTACTTTTCCTGCTCATTACAAATATTTTCAGTGGAAGAAATTAAGTTTAGGAAATATTTGAAATATTTACTTGTACGTGTACAATTTTATTTAACCGGGGTGATTTCAAAAAATAAATAAGTAAGTTTTTATAAATCCTAGTTAAAGTAGTTTGTCTATAGCGATGATTTGTGACGATCAATCACTTGATTTGATTATATTTGTTTATTTCTTTTAATCTATATGTGGTGTGTCTTGTCCGCAGGTTTATCTTCCGGCCCTCCTGCACTTGCTATCGGTAAATGGTTACCAGTGGATCTACTGCTTCAAGCAAAATTGTTCGCTATTATTCTTCAAACGTGTTGGTGTAATCATGTCAAAAGATGTGTGAAAGTATGCCGCAGTATGGACGGAATTACTGCTGCCAGCAAAAATTTTCGCAATTTGTTCTTCAAAGTTTTCTGCGTTTTGGGTCATTGTGAAGTTATTATTACATTGGTCAAAAGGATTATTATAATAAGTGTTGTCGTGAACTATCAGTGACACTTAGTTTAAAGTATGCATGTACTCAGATGCTAATAGCAGTCAATAGTGTAGTGGGTTGTTCAAAGAAAAAATTAAATGTTAGGAATCCAGGAAAGCTCCGTGTTTTACAACATATCCTGCCATACTGCCCGAGGAGACCAGACGTCATTGTATCCGCATTAACAGAATTTCGTTCAGATGGCTTCTTGCTTTCAATATACTGGACTATAATTACCTTGCCTGCATAATTTCAATAGACTTTTGAATTAATATACTAGTAGTTCAAACTATTAACTACCACAATTGCTGGGATGAGAGGGGGTTGGTAGGGGTGTCGGGTGCTATAATTTCAGCAGGTACCTATTACATGCGGATTCAATTCGCCGATACAAAGTTGGGCCCAAGTGCTTATGCAAGGACTTGGTGGGGTAAATCTAGCGGATAAAATGTGTTCTGTTATGGAACATTTGCATTTCTTAAGGTGTAATCTATTCTTTAAACCTTAACAATTGTTCTGTGGACAATGCTAGCCCAATCTGTGGATGATGCCGCAGGGAAAGGGAGGGGGAGTAGTATTCACAACATGGTAGTGATTTCCAGTGGTACCATTGTTAACTTTTTCAGATCCAGTTTTGGGCCCATTTGGAGGGCCCACGTGCCCACACGGTATGTGGGTGGGGGTGGGGGCGGGCGGCAGACTACTATATATATATATATATATCTCAGATAACACCCATACCTACTTACACACACACACACCCAAATATTTGTACCCCAAAAGCTCTGAGCTGTCAATCTAATATTTAACATGATTAGTGTTACCACACCACGTTGTCTGTATCTGATAGACGATTTGACTAATAACATGTTTACATTCATAGTTTGTCTGAATTTAGTGTTCCTTGTGACCCTTCCGAGTTAACCCTGAGTACTTAAAGATCTATTTGGGATATACAGTGACAGGGAAAAGAAAATACATAAACATCTATATTCATTTGTAATGCAAATATAAGGCCAATTTATGTTTGTCTAGACTTGGACAGTGCAATAAATATGGACTGTCAGAATAACTATTAAATCGTCCAACTATGTGGTTGAAAGATTTATCAGAATAAGTTGACAACGAGGTAATATCAAATGGAATGTGATATTTGTATTGTCAATAAATCATAGTAATATGAACGAAGGCAGCTTAAATTGGATCTTAACATGGACGAAGGCAGCTTAAATCGTATCTTAACATGGAATATGACTAAGTTGATTGATCTGAGATAAATAAATAGTGGAATAATTATATGAGCCTGGGCAAGTTTAATTCTTTGAATATGTAAGGCGATTAGCTGACTAATCGGGTGTTTCGGGTACAGAGGGTCTGGCAAAACTATGTGCCCAGTCGGTCAAACATTGGCGTGCACGTAAAATAGCCCTTGGCTGTTGCAATTCGGAAACAACTAGACGGAAAATTCCCATATGCCCGTCTTTGTTAGCCCAGTTGTTACAGACAATAAACAAGTTAAACCACCATGTCACAGAAACCCGTGCAAATCACATCCCCCAGAATCTATTTTTAAATGTTTATTTTAATGTTTATTTTACAATAATTCTAAGAGTTTCGGATAACTTTGTAGAATCTTTTGAGCGATCCAACAGGAAACTGTATCATCTGATCTGCTTGAAATTTATGATTTATACGCATAATTCGGATTAATAAGACGAAGACGCTTATAATATAAAAGGGTTAGCAATTTCCGTTCATTACCTTTCCGTTTGTAGAATTTTTGGGAAGCGCAATCGACAAACGTGCTCATTCGATATGCTTGAAATTTATATGCATTTTTCAGATAAGTAAAAAGAAGCACCCTATCGATCTTAATCATTTGTAGAGTTCTTACCCTTGCTCACTTTAAAGTATATGTTCGGGTGAGTGAATCATGTCGACATCTTCACCCAGTTATACAACCTTGTGATACCCTTACTACAAAAGTTATAAGTATGTTTTGTGTTCAAAGTTCATCAATGTCCGATAATTAGTTTAACAGTTATTTCCTTTGATTTTATTATATTTTTATTAGTTTAACTTAAAATTTATAATAATTACTCCTAGAGATATTCTGTTTGCTTATAGTATATAATCTTGGCAAAGTTCCAACAACATTTTGCTTTCCCGCAATCTTTGTAGAATGGTCAAACAAATTAGCTGAGTGGCAACCTATCGTTTGTAGAAAATTGAACACAAATAAGCCGTTTCTACATAAATAAAACCTATTGAAATGTTATTTTTCAAAAATGAAGAAAAGAAAATGATCGTACATTTAATGATGTCAATTTGATTATCGGGGGTGTACAAATTAGATTGCGAACAAACTATAAAAAAATCAGATATTTTGACGTTCACGTTCAAATTTGTCGTTTTTTAAGCAATGAACGCTGAAACA